GCTGGCACTTCCGATCCCCGCTAGTGGGTGTGTAACACTTCCGATCCCCGCTAGTGGGTGTAACGCTGGCACTTCCGATCCCCGCTAGTGGGTGTAACGCTAGCACATGTCGACATGTTTACTGATATGACCGGTTAATTCCGACGCCTGCCACTGGGTGAATACCTTGGCAAATTTCTGTCGCCTGCCATTGGGTTGTTATAACACTGGCCATGACTTATAGATGAGACTACTGAACTGAGTTTTCTTCTGCATTAACGGTTTATCAGTGAAAGTTCTGTTACGTTTACATGGTTTATCTGGCATGCTTAAAAGTTTTACCCAAGGGCTATCCATATTTACTTACTGAGTTATCTCATAGTTTTCCTTGTCCACCATTTCAGGAAACGAAACCGAGGATGGGAAACCAAGGGGAGTGACGAGTTAGAAGGCTAGCCATTTTGTAAAGTGAATATAGATCATGATGTTGTAAACTAGAGTTTTATTGGAGCAAATTATAAATTTTGATCTTCAGATTTTGGTGGTATTAGTTTGTGACTTGAATCAGTTTCGAGCCTTGTGCACTTGTGGGACTCATCTCACGAGTGCACGGCGTCTGCCACGTCCTCGGATTTGGGTTTTGGGGCGTGACAAAAGGTGACAATCCTATTTCCCCAAAAAGAAAGTGGGAAAAATGAAACTGCCGACTCACTTGATTTGGGGCTTTTTACAAAAAGGAAATATTGTTAATTGGTCCCTAAGCTTTAATTATAAGGTTTTAGTCCCTGAGCTCTTTACATCATTATAATTTCAACCCCAAATTTAATTCTATCACATATACACCCTCTAAGAGCTTAAATAATTTATTTAAATCTAAAGTAAGAAATCCTTGGGTATTACACAGCACGTGATAGCTCCTCCTCCAACTGAGTATCTAACTTAGGATCAAGCACAGCATATTCAGCATCCAACTCAGCCTCCAAATTACGCTCTTCAGTGTCCTCGTCCATTGTTGCATCATCACCAGTGAACTGGTCATTGGCCAATGGTGGCTGAGTAATAGTGGGCTGCTCCTGTTGCAGCTCTGTGGGAAACTGAGTCAAATTGGAAATCTGTTGCTGTGCGGGAGGCTAGCTCAAGCTAGGCAGCTGTTGTTGTGTAAAAACAGCCCTACGAGGCTCCCGAATAAGACGACGAAATGACCTCTGTGGTTCTCCCTCTGGATTAACCTGCTGTCTAGAAGAAGATGCACCTCGCATACCTCGTCTCATATCTGTATACAAAAAATAAT